CTTCATCCCCCTCAGGACCACTTAACAACATCAGCAAAGCAATTAAGTGTAGTTTTCAGGAAAATGCCAGAGGCATTACACTGTCTGGATGGGAGTCTCAACCCAATTATTTTCAGCTAGTTGTGAACTGTGGAAAGTGGACTTTACTTCATTATAACTTCAGTTCCCACTGATTAAAAGTCTAGTATGTTACAGACGGTAAGGAAAAATGAAACAATTAAACTTTCCATCAATAAAATTGCTGCATATTCTTCAACATAGGGGTTTACTTCTCTCCAGAGAAGTGATTAAAATGAACTGATTGAACTATAATTTGATTGACTGAAGAGGCACAATCCATTGCACTAAAGCTTAAATTCCATCTTATTGCTCTATTTAACTCTGAATATAAAAAATTACCAGCGGTCTTGTAAAGCCCTCATGCAGTCATCCAGCTGAAATTTCTCGTTGCACACAGGCTGCAGTAGGTTCTGTTCGTTCACTGCTGTGTGTGCACGATTCACAACGGACCAACACTGAAAAAATAGACTGACACCTAAGAAATTACAGCCTTAAAAACTATTAGAAAAGGCCTGTTATATTGTCAGGTATCTTACACTTATTACATAATTGTTTGGGGATTCTACACTCAACCACAGATAAAGTTAACCCAAGAGACTGAAGAGAATAAGGTTATATACAGCTGTTACAGCAAAAAATTTGCGTTATATTCCCACTGAAAAATGCAGCTGTGATGCACCTGCCTACTGCAGAGCTGCCTTCAGCAATGTATGAGGTTTCTGTGAGTGCATATGTATGCACTCTCCTTCTAGGTCTCTGTTCTGGCTGTGACTCAGGACACACGGATGCTTCTTTGGACTGGGGGCAAGTTTTTAAGGTTTGCTTCATCTATAGGTATTCATCTCCACAGATGAAGAGGTGAGCTGCTACAGTCAGGGACTCCTCCTGCACAGTGAGGTCTAATAAAAGCCAGTTAAGAAACAATGAGCTTCTCTTAACAGGCTACAATGACATTCTGATCCAGAAAATACCTTCAGTATAATTTGCCTCTGAAAATTAACTGAGATGCCATTTCCTGCATGAGGTTGCCCCTCTGCTGTATTACACCCACTTTCTCTAGTCCACTATGTATTTTGATATAAAACACAGCATTTGACTTACAACTGCACCACAGTAAAACTGAGTAAGAATATATTATTACGTTAAGTTGTAGCATGAATACATTATACTAGTAATTAAATGAATCAGCCTGAATAAGGCATGCAGATAAAGATGGGCAACAGATGGGCTAAACACTGTAATAGGTAGCTCAAACTCCAAATCAAGTCAATGGAAGTCTTCCCATTAACTTCACCAAGAACCACGCCATGTACTACTTTCAGCTACAATCTTTACTACTGAGTTCAGTTTGCTGTTGAGCTTTGCACTTCTGCCTGTGCCTGATCCACAAGGATGGCTTCATGGCTGATCAGGCCATATATGTGATTTATATCAATTCCAATCCTGGATGTTGCCAATCCCAGTATTAGATGGATTTCTGACCGTAGTCAAGGGCTGCAAATTCACTAAATTCTTCAGTGTTATTAAGCATAGGGCAAACCACAATTCTTTGTATTTGTTAGCCAAAAGCTACCAAGACTGTAGTGGAGTCACTGAGGTGGTATCAATCTGATAAAATGCTACCTCCATCTAATTTAGAAGGAACACCTCTGACCAATTATATTTGACACTTAATGGTTGTCTTGCATTATTGGCCTTTTCTTTGTTTCCTCTTTGATTTTGATTACCAATCACTATAAACATTATTCCCTACCCCACCTTACGATATACAACTTTGAATAAAGATGTGCAGCAGCAACAGTAACAGCAGCATTTTAAATGGAGACAAGAGCAAATGCAGAACCACAAATCTGTGGTTCTGGGCAATCTCTGGGAGTTGCAGGATGTTACCTACTTCCCCTGAGCCCAGCTTTATGCACACACACCAGAGGTATGCAAGGCCCCAAACACCTTAAATGCATATGTAATGCCTATTTAATCTTTCAGTTCTTAAGAGAGATAAATTTCCTCAATTATAACAACGCCTTTGTCTGCATACAAGCTGCAGAAGGTACCATGTTTGATGTAATTTATATATTATTTTCCTTGCAGGGCAAGAAAACAGCAAAAAGAGGGCCCCAGATGTGAACCTGGCCTTCCCTAATTCTTAACTGACAAAGTGGCAGGGTGCTTACAAACCATTTGTCCACCTCACAGCACTTCTACAGATGTGGCAGCAAGCAGAGCCTGAGAAAGGCTTTTTTGTCACACTGACATGAGTCACAAGAAAGCTGGAGAGAGCACAAAGAAAGTCAAGAACAGGGCAGGACCCTCTTCCCAGCCCAGCCTGTACAGGCACATGGAACAGAAGGAACAGGTTTCTGGTGAACTGAGCCCTTATTTCATGTGGTTCCCCAGAACAGAGTCAGTGGCTGCAGGGACTGGAACTTGCCAGCAGTTCCAGCAGACGATGCTGGACTTGCATCTCAGGGGAAAAGTGAAAAATGACTAAAGCTGGATCTGTTTCCTGCATCCATGGCTCTCCTGACAGACACACAGGAGTAACCAGTCAACACTAGCAAAAATAATATTATTTTGCTATGGATGCTGCAAATCACACTAGTGACTTCTCTGTCCTTATCCCATTAAGGCGAGGCATCAGAATTTTCTGATGTTTTCAATAGCAAGTTGATCTCAAAATCTATTAATTACAAAATTCTATAAAAATGTAATCAAAAATATATAAAATGTACTATGCAGATTTGTATTTGAAAAATACAGCACTTTAATTACAGAAGCGGAAGTAATTTAAGTGATATAAGAGATTACTGTAATTTCTTCATTAGATTTTAGTTTCACCATTTAAGAAAACATCATTTAAAAGGTGTGGTATTATCTTTTATTCCACACTGTTACAACTCCAGCAAAACATGCAAACACTTGAATACTCTCCTCCTAGCAACCAAGGTCTTTCATGAGAAAAGCAGCATATTTGTCTTTTTTCTGTACTTCATACTAAGCCAAATTTCCAGATTTCCAGTTTGCAACCCCTTCAGGCCATTCAATAACCATTATTCCATTTCTGGAATATAATTTTAGGTACAAGTCTAAGCCAGAGACCATCTCTTTGCTCATTTTCTAATTAAAAAAAAATATATTAATTGAGCTGGGTTGGGTTTTTTTTCCCCCTCCAAAACCACCACCCAAGTAACAAGAGTGCCCTCAGCTTTAACATTAACAGGAAAACCACCTACCAAGCCACCCAATGTCTATAGGCAGAATTTCATACTGGACACATCTGAATCCCTACCTGAATGCCTGTGTCACCTCCACTTACATGTAACACTATGGTTATAGGGCCAGACTTTCAGAATTTTGCGTATTATTTACTTCCACCAACAGAAATATCAAGAAATTAATTTTAGGCACTAAGCTTCTTCACATTTACTAACCCCCTGCATCTGACAAAGTGCTGAGTTTTCTGCAAGTCCCACTACAGTGAGGACAAAGTACAGATATCAAGTGCTCCCTTGGGATTTAGGTCTGTCTTTAAAGGCTGGAATAATGGTGACATTTTTACTGAAGAAACAGGGCTTTTGGGTATCTTAAGACCTTTGCAGGATGCTGGGGATCAAAACCAAACCCAGACCAGAAAATTCTTACACTAAGAGAATCCTCTCTTCTACATCTTTTCTTACAGAAGGGCAAGTTCTCCTTTCTTTCTTACCTGAGGGAGACCTTGTTAACTCTTAAAGAAAAAAAAAAAAAAAAAAAGGATCAACTGGAAAACCTGTCTTCCACGGAAAAAACAAAAGATAGCTAAGTGAGAAGATCTGTCCTTCTCGTCACTTACAGCATGGTCAAAGAGCCAGCTCCCCCCTTTTCCCAAAAGAGTTCACAGACAACTGTCCAGAAGTACACGGTCTCCCCGGCAGTTCTGCTAACAGCAGGATGTACTGCAGCACTCTGGACTGCTGCTGTCGTGTCATTTCAGTGCCTCTGAGGTCAGCTGAGTGTATTAAATTAATGCTGTTCCCAGGCAAAGGAAAATGTCTGCAAACAGAATGGTGTAGCATAATAATGGGATGCAAGGGGCAGATACATGAAGAAATATTATATGGTTGAAGAAGAGGGGCTCATTGCCGTGGTTCTGACTTACGTGACTGAGTGCCAAATGCACATTACCCCAAAGATTTCCCAGCAGATTACGTGTTTGTTCACCAGCACTTAACATTTTTACAGCTTATTTCAGTATTTTTGCATTTGTTTCACCCTTAATCATTTATTTATGAGCTTAAAATTTGAAGCCTCATTACAAGCTATCCTGAAGGAATCTCACCTGCCTTGTCTGATTATTATTCCCAAGTATCTAATTTATAAGACATCAATCGAACATATATAAAATAATAATGAATTAATAAAAACTATAGCTTCCTAGAACTACTAGTAGTTTAAATATGTGAGCAAATGCAGTGCACAGTCTGGAGGTCAGCTGTCAAATTTCTCTGAGAATATCTGTCAGAATCACTTAGTATTTATAATATGGTAGTAAGCCATAAAAATATTTAACTGCTATAGTCTTCAAGTAATTCTTGTAATAATTGTGAGCCATATCAACCTGTGAACCTGTAAGGCAGAGCTGGGATTAACCAAGTGTTCCATGTAAGTAAGAAGGCCATCACAAAACACCGTACATGCCTAAGGGACTCCATGTGCCTGTGAAATGAAATGGCAGAAGCAGTCTAGTTCAGCTAAATATTTTTTTTACTGTAATACGATCTCTTAAACTGAAATGATTTTTTCTATACAGAAAGTTAAGATACATCCTTTTTTTACTGACTCAAGCTTCTGCCTCAGAACATTAACATAGCATAGTTCAACATTGCCCATTGGGTGTTCTAACAAAGTATCAATTCAAAGGACAAGCTTTGGCAATTGTGTCTACCCTGGCAGAAGGGACATTATTTCACCCGAAGGAATTTTGGTAGAGGCTCTAATCCTATTGCACCCTCCAGCTCCACAATGCGGTTTAGCACTAATGGGGGATCACTTTCATGTACATTTCCTAAGCTCAGACAGAGCCCACATGACGCTTCACTGAGGAAGGGGAAACACAAGAGTCAGAATTTTCATTCTGGACTTTGTCTTTACCACACAAACTATTGTGTAGTTTCCTTTATGGTTCAAATTTCATCAGGGCTTGCAAAAGAGCCTCATATGGAAAAGATGGCCATATTGTCAGCAGCATGTTTCTCTATTCCAGTCCACAAAGAATCACTTACCCCCATTCTTCAAAAGGACTCCACCAAATTCAGTGGACATGCCTCAGCCCCTCACTTCAGTAGGATTTACATGAGGACTTCAAATGCGCATCTGTGGAGCTGAAGCCAAAAGACAGCATTACCCCTCTGTGGCACTCCGATATTTTTTAATATTCACTGACTCTCCTTTTCATCCAGAACGCATTTATCATTTTAAATGCTTATGTCCACTGTCTGGGTATCTCCATTACACAAGCAAGGATTCTAAGGCCAGCAAGGATAGTTTGTTCCCAGGCATGCAACATGGGTTCATGCAAACATTACATTCCCATTTGAAACCTAAATGCCACTTGGGATGTTCCCAAGTCCACTGAGATGTGTGTTTCAAACTGTCACACAGAGAGGTTTCATTTTAATATTTTTAAAAACGTTAAGATCTAACAGGGCCATGAGACATTCTGGTCTGACCTCCTACATCAGATTTTTACTTCTGTATCAATTCCCATAGCTCCTATTTGACTAAAACACCTCTTTCTGAAATACATGTAAATGGAAAATCCACCATCATTTACACTAGCATTAACTACCCCACACTTAAAAACACATTTCAGTTAAGCTTGTCAGGCTGTCACTCCCCCTTCACCAACTTTCACCTCCCTGTGGTACACAGTGCTTTGGCTGTCCATGTTTTGGTCCCATGGGGTGCTGGTACTCTACAACCTCAGCTGGACTCAATGGTATGAGCCATGCTACCATTCAGAAAAACACATGCAGTTGCATGCACACATTCACAGCTTTGGGTACACTTTTAACCACAAAGGATTCATCAAAGTCCAGAATCAAAGATGTGTCCTATGTTTCTCCTGAGCAGATCATCCTGGGGCATGCACAGGGAAACGATGTCTAGTTTAACTCTGAGAGCACTTGCCTACAGCTGTGAGGGATGGTTCTAATTTTAGGGCAACCTGCTTACCACATTTTCCATTTCCTCTCATTTAACCACATTCAAGTTTTGAAAGAAAAATATCACTTACCTTTCTTCTTAAAAAATTTTCACCACGGACTAGTTTCATTGCCCTCATTCAATCAAACCACTTGCTGACTCGAAGAGGTACTTTCTTGAGTAAGAAAGGACAGTCTTCCATTTCTGGGCCTTCTTTGCAATGGATCCTGTGGAAACCAAAATAAATACTGTACACCAATTCACTTTTAGTGAGTACAAAAACAGTGCCTCAGAGTGACAGCTATTGGTTTGTCCCCAGTAACTGCTGTAAAACCTTATCTGTAAACATCATAATGAATAATGATCAGTGTCTTACTCCTCTTACTCTCTTGTGTGACAGACCCTCAATTACGGCTATTACATTATTATTTTTTTAGAGAATTCTACATGGCTAAAGCTGCACTCTCCTCTGAACATCAAAGACAGTATTAAAACCCTGGTCAGGATAGCTCCTCAGAATCATCTGCTGATGTTCACTCCAGCTAAGGAATGCTCTGTTCTAGACAGAAAGCACACAACTGCCTCCTACTCCTGGCTCGTAAGAGATCCTGCAAAAATGGATACACCATTGAGAATGGAGAGAGTTCCACTGAGAGAAAAGTTCACCTCTCATTAAGCTCTGCACCTCTCATTAAGATCCTGCAACATTCACCCATCCTTAAGTTTGTGACTATTGAAGCCATGTGAGACCACAATGCTAAAGCTGCATCACAAATCGTGACTATGTAACAGAATACTGAACTACAGACCACTCACTAAGGAACTGTACCACCAGTATCTATTACTGCACCACAATCAGAGCTGTAACATTTTAATTCCGCATACACAGCGTTCACGGGCATCCTCTGGGGATAAACCTAGCTCTACACACTTCTATATTCAACTAAGAAGGATGTCTTTCAGGTACCCTAAGGAGGGAACAGCACAGTCTCAAGATTCACATTTGCACCAAGCAATGAATGATTCATAAACTCCTTATATGAAGGTAACACAAATCAATTCTTACAGTAATTACTAGAAAATTAATGTAACTGCCTCTCAAGAGCATTACCGGAGAACACAGTCATCTTCTGCAGGTATGTAGACGTAAGCTAAAGCTAAGTATATCCAACAGGTAACGATGCATAGTATGATAACGTATTTGGTCTAGACTTGAAGTACATAGTGACTTATTGATAGCCAACATCTTACAACGTTATCTATGTAGAAAGTAATGCTTGGCAATTTATCAATTCTTAAAGCTCTGTGCTTCTAAGTATTACTGTTGATGCTGCTTTGAATTTGGATTCAGCTGATTTTTGTCAAGGTTCAGCACTGTGGCTCATCTGTGTTTCCCCAGCTCCCTCAGGACTTGGAAATACAAATTCGTACTTAATGAGCCTGTTAAAAAAAATTAAGAACTGCACAGGCAGCACTGCCCTTTTCTGTCCCCAGTCTGTCCATGAAAACAAAACTGGTTCAAGACGCTAGCAAGGCACGCATATGTACTAAAAGCACAGGTTCCAGGCAGAACATTTTATTATCCATAAGCAAATTATACTGTAAAAGCATACTGTCCAGCTGTACTACCACACTCAATTAAGTCTGTATGTGCCATGCAGGGAAAGAATTTTCAGATGAACCACATCTGTAAAGTGGACTTTCTTCAGAACTTCACAGCCACATGGTGATGAAGCAAAAATACACAGATTTAAAACACCTATCTGCCAAAGCTTAAGCCTATTCCACACCTGTACTATAATCATTACTTTAGATGATTCTAAAGCATGACTGCATCACAAGCAAGGTTTAATTACTTCACACATCTCAACTGTAAAAAGCTGCTGCAAGCAATTATGATATACAAAGACACAAGTCTCTGTACTCAGACAACAGTAACATTTCTTTGTGAACACTTTCCTTTCCAAGTATCTCTTAACCAACATCATGTCAGCTACAACATAAGCCATGTTCCTCAGCTGTGGGAGCTTAGCAGCTTTCCACTGATTTAGTCAATTGTGTGGGTTGCTAAAAATCAGGTCTCATGTGATACTGAGTTCACAAAAGTGTTCTAAAGGACATTTTAAACTATTTGCAATTTTTTTGCAGTTTAAATCCTGTTTAATATTTTTGATGAGCTCTATGACTCAAAAAAATCCACAGACTAAATGAAGGACTGCTAAAAAACCTCTGGTATGCCATGAAAATTGATCTTCAGCTGCCCAATTCCATTCTTAATAAGACAATTCAGAGACTTACAGGAACATGCCTTATTGATTCATTCACAAGTCACTAAAGCCTGCTGCCTGTGTACTCTCCAATAAGAATAGACACACAGTGCTTCTCGTGTACTGAATTACAGGAAAAGATGATGACCCCAGATCTGTTCTGCTGGAGGTCCAGTGAGACTAAACACACCAAATAAATGTAAACACAGTACACCACTAAGTTAATGATAAATGTGTATAAGAGACAAAGGGACTTACATTTCCACTTTATTATCCCTTCAGTTGAGCCACTGCCATCTCTGCAATTTATTTACCCAGAACAGTTGGGCCCAGATGCATACCTGCTTTTTCACAGAGGTACTTGTTTTTCTCAATTTTGCAGATGGATTAAATAAGCCAGGAGGAGGCCAACCTACATGTGTGAGGTCACCCAGTGGACTGTAATCTACACTGCAGCAAGCACCTGAATCCATTCAGGCTCAAGACCTAATTTGGAATAAACCTGGCGTGTAGCTGTACTGCACTATATACTTTATAAACATATCTTGCAATAATCTCCTGTGCTTCTTATGAAAGCAATAACAAGCAGTCAGAACAGCAAAGCCTACACTGGACAAGCTTTCCTATCAAATTCCACTAATGCATGTCGGCTGTGACCTGCAGTAATTTGGGTAACCTAATAAGGCTGAATGCCCCATAAGAATCTGGAATGATAAACCTGAAAGATATGAGGAAGTACAAGAGAGCAACTGGACACCAAGAAGTCAGAACAAAAGTGAACTTCAAAAATATATTAAGAAAATACAGGTAGAGGAAATACATTATCAAGAATAAGAAAATCTGCTTTACATAGTCCTACAGGTATTTTCAATTACCACTATTTCAACATTCATTTCCAGCTCAAACCATTGCATCTGCTTGTCTAAATAGGGGAATATGCTATACTCAGATTTAGTATCAGGCTTTACAGTAACTAAATAGTTACTACAATAAATCCAATACAAATACCTTAAGTATGGTGTTTCCTCAGACTGACAGGTTTTGCTGGAAGAAGGCAGTCTTCTTTCTACTTTATGACATAACAGGTTCTAGAGAGTCCATTTCTCTTAAATCATTCTAATACTCCTCTTCCTTTACATATGCTTTTGGTTAAGTGTGCACAGACTAGTCAAGCCTAACATTCTCTACTGCAAAACTTAGCTGTTCACCTGTACCACAATTTCAGTCTATTAATGGCTTTAGTACAACTGTATGTAGAGAATGGCTTCAGAAAGCGGCCTCTGCTCTGAGGTAGCTGTTACTTGGACAAATCGGGTAACAAGCAATTTAGTGATGTACAGAGGAATTAGAAGGCTTTTTTTATGCTCTTTAATATTTACCCTAATTCCAAAATGAGCCCAAACCCCAGCATAAAAATCACTTTTCCTTTAGAACTGTCTCTCAGCAGGGTAGCACGCTACTAACTGCCAAGTTATCGCTTTGTGCCATGCCACATGTTCAAAGCCACCAGTATTCGATGTGCTAAGTGATACTGAATCCCACAATCAGAAATAAAACCAAAAGTTTCAAAAGATTTTGGAATTTAGATGAATATAAATAGCTGCTTTGAAGATGGAAAGCATTTTACAGATTTACATTTTAGTGTGTTCTGAACGGATAAACAGACAAAACTATGTTTTGTAAAGGAACAATAAGATTTCTAGTTTAACGCTCTCCCTAGTTAGATGGTAAGAAATACTAGGAGCCACAGAAAGAATTATTTACATTCCCTGTACAGAAAGCATATGTTTCACTTCTGCTTATTACTTCAGTTACTGAAAAGCTTCTCATTTTATGAGCTTAACAATTATTAACATAAGCCACAAAGCTTTCTGCACATGTACATTCCCACTATCGTCTTTCTCAGCTGACTTGGGTACAAGTATCCAAACCAATCCTGGTAATATCCTTCTTTAGTCAAGAGATTCTGAAGGTTTAACAAAGGGTTTTTTTCTTCTGAAAGACTCAACTACTGTTGTCAAAGCATCCATACATACTTAGAATTAAAAATATTGAAAAAAGGGTTCTGAAAGGAAAATTAATTGGAAAGATTCATTCTCATAACACTGCTTCCTGTCACTTCACTCCTAATGACTGTGTTCTCCCTTACTTTTGCGCAGTTTGGTTTCCAAATCCCCAGAGAGCTCTGTGACAAACCTCCAGGGTGTTTCCAGGATGTAAGGGTCAAGCTGAAAAAGGATGGAGTGTGCAGAAGCCAAGTCTCAGAAACTCTTACTTCAAATCCGTCATGGGCACAGACACCAGGGAAAGTAAAGCACAGTGGGTAGTCTCTTAGAGGAAAATCAACCCTGATGGGAACTTCTTAAAGATCCTAGAATAACTGCCAGCAGAATCCAAGTGACATTCCTTGAATCAAATTAAAAAAAAGTTTCCCAGAGATGCTTGCATGCTTGGTTCATGTATAACACTTGGTATTTAGGGAAATGCTACTCCTGGACTTCTTCCCACCACATCCTCCAAAGACATGTTTCTTAGCCAGCTGCTTCACTGTCCTCACACCCGCCTCCAAATTCACAACAATACATTGCTGGTCTGGTTTAGACATTGTATGACCTTCCCTGTGCTGACTGGCTCCATTACTGTGAAAAAAGTGCCAGCCAATCTCTATCTTTGGGTTCCCCAACAACCTTACTTTCTTTTTTATTGGTTAATTAACATAATCATTTCCTAAGAACAACTGTAATAGTAGTTAGTAGAACAAGTGTTGTAACTAGTAAAAGTCTATAAAGAGAAAAAACAGTATCTCACCAGTTGTATGGAAAAGATGTACCTTCCAACGTCACAAATTCCCTTTTGGAGATCCAAAGGAATTCTGTGCTGCTCCTGCATGATGTGCTTCAATTTCACCTTATTTGTTATTCTCTGTTTAATCAAATTCTTCTGTAGTATAAACTTGATCA